AAAAAAAAAAAAAAAAAATGATTTCATCCGGTCCCAAATTTAAAATATGTTTATTGATATAACTTGTTTGACATTCTTTAAAAGCGTGAAAATCGGGGTCAAACCACGTGTCTCACCCCAATTTTTAAAGATGTCATTTTGGGAGAGAGATTCGAACAACTCAGCGAAATGTAATTAAAGAAAATCGGAATTAGTAACGTTTACATAAAAACATGAAAAAAAATTGAATAGAAATGGTTTAAATTTGGCATATTCAAGATTATTTTTAACTCTTTATATACTAAATATAAAGAGTGACGCTAAAGATTCCCATTATAGTTAAATTATTTGCAATGGGTATCGGATTTAAGTTCGAGTTTAATAACCTTTAGACCTTACGTGCTTTGCTTTCGCGTTAAAAAAAAAAAAATGCTATAAGCAATCAATAATTATAAAATAAAAAAAAAAAAAATTGTTTGTTAGTAAAGAATCGAAGAAGCTATAGAATAAGAAAATAAGCTTATTTTAACGTAAACAATATACCAATTACTTTCTATTCTGAATCGCTTTCCTTAAATTGTTTGTTTAAAAATAAGAGAGAGAGAGAGAACGATCACAAACAATGAGTCATAATATTAAAATGAGCATTTTTCTGGGGTCTTTTCATTGACCGGAGTGAATGTCCTTGACGTCATTAGTGACGTCGAACAGAGCTAGTAGGACATGACCGTAATCAGCAAGAGTAAGATTCCAAAAAGCTGAAACGGCGATGTTTAGCTAAGCAACATTTGCTCCAATGAGAACAGAAACAGATGTAGGTCTGGTTATTTAAAGGGAATGCTTTCTATTTGTAACGTCGTGAGTCACTTCGTTACACTTTTAAAAACGATTCGAGACTGTAGTTCGTTACTATATCACGTGATGAAGCGAAGAGAAGATGGGGAGGGGAGGAAATACTTTCGGGATAACTTGACTACATTAATCATTTAAAATAAAATAAAATAAAATATTGCATTCTTCAACCTTTTATCAGTAACTCTTAATATTATTATTGACAAAAATTTATATTAATTAACTTATCTCTCTCTCTATACGTAATATATCTTATCGAGTTGTTTTAACATTACAGATGAAATATTGAGCAATTTTTTTTTTTTTTAAATTAATAAACTTTTCATCTATTACGTAAGTCTCTCAAGATTAAATTTATCTATAATTCGTGTAAATAAATCTTGTTTACTTTTAAAAATCAATAAATCTATGCTATTTACATCGCCAGCATTTTAATACTTTTGCATTTATAACGTAATATTTCTTAATTAAAACAAAGTAATATTAATTTACTTAAAAACATTTTAAAATTTTATTATTCGTGTATATTTTTTCTCTCTCTTATTTAGCCAAAGTTTGTTATAATTAAACTTTCCTTCTTATCCTAAAATATTTATTATGAAAATGTCTTAACTGTTGTTATTAAGGTGCAAAATTTAATTTATTTTATAGCATTCATTTACGAATTTAATTCAATAACTAATCATTTTAAATATATATATATATATTGTTTTCTTTTTATTATAAAAATATGAAATAATTTTATACTGAAGCACAGCTACCTTATATGCAAAGACAATGCTATTGCGTGGGGCCTGAATTCAAGGTTATTTAATCGAAGACCCTAACTAATATTTTTATATAAATATATCCACTTCTATAGTATATTAATTTTAAAGGAGAAAAATTAAATTATTACGGTATACTTTTTAATCCTAAGGATAAATAAAGTATGTTTTTTTTTTATTTATTTTTTCTATGAGATTACTTTGATTTGAAAATAAATTTAGTATTAGAATTTTATAGTTTGTACGTTTGTATTTTCAATGTATATATATATTCTATGTACATGTAGAAAAGTTTTTATAGTTTTTCTACTAATTCTTCTACATTATTTCCTATAGATTTATAGGAAATGTATTCCCTACAGAGTGTATTTAACGCAACTATATACATCATAGTAGTAGTAAATAAAAGTATTTGTATTTATTATGAAATTATTTTAATTAAATCAAACAAGCATTAGTTTACTTTTTATTGCATTTTAAAATAAATACATAAGCGCAAAAGCGTATTTTTTTTTTTCCTTTTTTTTGAGGTAGAAGCAATGATATCCTTATTAAAACATAAAAATTGAATTATTAACTGGTGGTGTTGTTGTGTGTTACGCAATTGGAATCACCCGGATGATGTCTACTACCTTCGAAAACGGCAATAAAAGTTCTTATATAAAGCTAGATCAATTTTCTTCCAGTTTACATAGTAGCTGCATAAAAATAGAATTTTTCGATAATTCTTTCCTATAATTAAATTAAAGATAAGAAGGAATTTCTTTTCTTTCGGTTGATTTTAAAGTAAAATCGAAATGGCGATTGTTTTTTTTTTTTTTTTTTCCAATGGGCAGGTGTATTAACACATACGCATCCGACTCTAGAAGCGAATGCGTCATAAACCATTCGACCTTGGTCGAGATCACTGTAATCCCGTCATGCATCACGCTCCGTCCATGTGTACAACTGCCAGGTGTGACGTCAGTCGGCGGTATGACTCATCGCGGAAACTGTTGACGTCGCGAAGCAAGATTGAGACCGACTGATTTTCACTGCTTTCTTCTTTCTACCCCTACCACAAAGAGGTAAGTTTACTCTGGTCTTTTCTTGCCAAAATTTTTGTATTTTCGTCCAAACAGACTTTTGGCACCGCGTTAAATTGAAATATCAACAAATGGCCGGTTTGTTTATTTTATTATTTCTAAAAGAATATGGATCGATTATACATTTAAAAACTGAAAAAAAAAAAAATATATATATATATATATGTATTATTTGAGTCGATTACGCATTGGATTTTTGTAGCTAGTTTGTGTAATTAAAGACATTCTTTATATATAAAAGATTAAAAATGCTACCGTTTTTCGACGGATTAAAGAGATTTAAAAAATGGATGGAAATTCTTTTCGAGTGTATGGAGTATAAAGTTGAATTAAATATTATCTAATTTGTCATATAATTAATTAAAATTGCTAAAATAATGCTTAGAAATAAATGAATTTATCTTAAGTTGAAGGCGTTTTGGGTATCGAGATCGAGTCGAATATCCGAAATGATTCAGATATTTGCAAGACGACACTATTTACTAAATAGGGAAACCATCCCGACCATTCGAAAAGTGAAAAAAAAGGCGCCGTTAATCTAATCGTGACATCATAAGTTCTCGATTTAGTTAGAAAGCCGATAATGACCGAAAGATAACCACTACTGATGTCACGCATGACGTCAAACAAACCACTCCCCCTCCAGTTATAATATAAAAAGGATAGGATATAGGACAGAACGTTTAGTGTGCCGTTTTCGCAATTAGTTGTAAGCGATTTTTGCTTATTGTGAAACGTTGTTTTGCAATATCTTTTGTGGGATTAATTGTGTAAGCTGTTGGTTGTTTGATTTCCAGGTGTTTGATTCCAGAGCCTCAATGTCTGGCGCAGCTCAAGTTCAGTTATCTCCCAGTATGTTCGAATTTAGCGAAGGAAGGAGGCAACGTCTTCATCTGACGCTCAATCGTAATTTCTGTTGTAACGGTTACCGACCGTCGTCTCCCGTTCACAAGAAGTGTAGAATGGACACGGAACAATGCAACAACAATAGAAACTGGATAAAACAAGTGCGTTTAGTGAACTCTTCCGAATTATCCGACCGATTAAGAAACTTTAGAAAATCAGTCGTACTCATCGATTGTCGTTCGTTTTTGTGTTATAACTCCAATCACATTTTGGGTTCTATTAACCTTAATTCCACTGACAGAATTAACAGGAGGCGATTACAACAATGTAAATTACCTTTGTGGGATTTCGTTACGTCAAATGAAGGAAAGGAAGTGTTGAAAAACTGTTGCGGAAAGGAAATAATTGTTTACGACGATAACACGACGGACTTAGATAAATTACTCTCAACTAATTCAATTTCTCTATTAGTCAATGCGTTCTACAATCAAGGTTATAACGTATCCATCTTAAAAGGTAAGCCTTTATTTATTTATTTATTTATTTATTTATTTACTCAGTAACCTTTTAATTTCTAAGCATTTTAAAATAATTAGGTGGCTGGCGTGAATTTTATAACTGTAACCGAGATCTATGCTTTCAATCCGATGATATATCTCCTTCTACGGTACCATCTCCTAGCTGCGATAACGCCGTAGAGACTATCCACGCTTGTCCAATTCTGCCATTCCTCTACTTAGGCAACGAGAAGGATGCTGCAGATTTGACGACGTTAAAACGCTTAGGGATAACTTATGTGCTAAACGTAACGGCGGATCTCCCCGATCATCAGTCGGCGGATGGAATCAAATTTAAACGATTACCCGCTTCCGATAACAACAATCAAAATTTAAAACAATACTTTCAGGCAGCATTTGAATTTATAGGTAGGTTTCATCCTATATATTTTTATAAAATAATTATATATTGTAAACCTTTTAAGCTCCATTTGAGATTTTAATAACGTAGAAGCACCTAGGTATTTTTAAAAAAAATATATATATTAATATCTTATTATTAAAGTATAAAATGTAGAAATGTATATAGTGCCATATATTTTTATTTTAAAATATATATATGTGTGTGTGTAATAGTGATTCAATGGCTCCTAATGGTTGTATGTGTACTACATCTGGTTTGGTTGTATGAATCATCGCCCATGTGTCCAACAAATGAAGAGAGAAATGCCAAACAGATGTAGCTGTTGAGCAAAGAATGAGAAATTAGAAAATTGTTATCTAATTCAATTTACATCGGAAAAATTTAATAATAATTAGTATAAAAATATTAAATGTATTCGTTAACGTAGCATTTAGTAAAATTNATGCCAAACAGATGTAGCTGTTGAGCAAAGAATGAGAAATTAGAAAATTGTTATCTAATTCAATTTACATCGGAAAAATTTAATAATAATTAGTATAAAAATATTAAATGTATTCGTTAACGTAGCATTTAGTAAAATTCGTATATTTTTATTTGTTTTCTTTCAGACGAAGCCAGAATGAAAAACTGCAATGTTTTAGTGCATTGTCAAGCAGGCATTTCTCGTTCGGCTACAATTATCATCGGTTATTTGATGCATCATAAACTCATGAATTTGATCGACGCTTATCGATTAGTAAAGAGAAAAAGACCTATCATATCACCTAATTTAAATTTCATGGGACAATTATTCGAATTAGAACAATCGTTAAAAAGATCTCCGAACGAATGCGACAAACCAAGAGCCTGTTGAATTTTTTAGTGAATACAGCACGGCTTAGTTTTATTATTATTATTATTTTTTTTTCTCAGGACTTTTTCATACACCTCCATCATCGCTGACTAGTCTATTATCTCACGATCTCCTCATACATGTAGAAAAGTTTTTATAGTTTTTCTACTAATTCTTCTACATTATTTCCTATAGATTTATAGGAAATGTATTCCCTACAGAGTGTATTTAACGCAACTATATACATCATAGTAGTAGTAAATAAAAGTATTTGTATTTATTATGAAATTATTTTAATTAAATCAAACAAGCATTAGTTTACTTTTTATTGCATTTTAAAATAAATACATAAGCGCAAAAGCGTATTTTTTTTTTTCCTTTTTTTTGAGGTAGAAGCAATGATATCCTTATTAAAACATAAAAATTGAATTATTAACTGGTGGTGTTGTTGTGTGTTACGCAATTGGAATCACCCGGATGATGTCTACTACCTTCGAAAACGGCAATAAAAGTTCTTATATAAAGCTAGATCAATTTTCTTCCAGTTTACATAGTAGCTGCATAAAAATAGAATTTTTCGATAATTCTTTCCTATAATTAAATTAAAGATAAGAAGGAATTTCTTTTCTTTCGGTTGATTTTAAAGTAAAATCGAAATGGCGATTGTTTTTTTTTTTTTTTTTTTAAATCANAAAAAAAATTCATTTCATAATTGTAATTCAAACAAATCGCACACGACATTAACTAAATGTACGATAACGAAAATTAATCCGAAAAAAAAGTAAATACAAGTCGACCCCCTATAATACTGTTGATAATTCCGTTTTATATGAATTCCATGTTGTACGAGTCACTTAGATTTTACAAATACGTATGCCGGGCTGTGAATAGCTCACGTATTTGTGAAATATAACAGTGTTATAGGGGGTCGACTGTATTAGATCAAATTTATAATTACAAATTGTATCATTCATTTTTAATTCCGTAATAACGGTATTTAAAATTGAAATTTACGAATCGAAAGTTCGTGGAAAATGATGCAATAATGTAACATTTAGTAGAATCGAAGAGGGTTTTTATCTAAAATTAATTTTTTTTTTTTTTTACTAAAAGTAATGATATAATAAAACAAATATATTATTAAGGATTAATCTATAAGACTTTAGAATAAATAATATTAATTTTTACATAGTTTTTATTGTATGTTTCGTGTCGATCTTCGGTCGTAAAAGTTCAAATATAAAACTAGATTTATACCAGTATTATGTTAATTAAATTTCCCCCCCAAAAAAAACAAATCAATTTAGTTGATTTGGAAGAAATTTCATTTTATGTTCTATTTCTTTTAAAGCCAAGAGAGTTTCTTAATTTCCCTATTACGAATACAGTCGAGATTCTCTTTCAAAAACTTTAATATAGAATAATTAAATATTTGGATACCTTTATAAAAACTGTTAATTATGACAATACTCCTTATTACACATTTCTAAGTGCATATTAAGGACACACAAAGGGAGTGGATATGCTGTATACCTATATATAACAATATGTAGGAGGATACGTTGTATCAATATATATATAAATTATTATTATTGGTCTTATAATAATATTTTCCGTTATAATGAAGGGGGAAAAATGATTTATTAAATAAAATAGACATTTTTTCTTATAGGAAATTATATTAATTTATATGTTAAACTAATGAGATAAAAGAATAGGCCTTATTTATACACCTTTATTGTATTTTTTAAAAGAAAACTTAAAGCGATTATTAATGTTAACATTATAATTTTTTTAATAGAATCAAAAATTATTCATATAATAGATGAGGATAGGCCTTATATACAAAGTCGAGAGGGTGAAATTTCAACAAATTGCATTGTCATCACAGATAAGTGAATCTGTTATGTTTCACTCCCTTCATCTTAACAGAAGCGGAAAATAAGCTTCTGGAAGAATTACAACCGCCAGCAACTCGTGGTACAAGAAGAGAATGAAATTTTAATAAATTCTATTATCATTTCAATTAAATACATTAAATTAATACAAGAAAAATACTTTATATATTTTCCTTAAATTAACTGATTTAAAATCAATTGTATTTTATAATTCGGAGAAAGAAGATATTAAGAATTTATTTAAATGTTTATTTTAAAGAAAAATTACAAATATTTTAATAATCAAAATCCGACTAATTGAATATCATTTGTAGCAGGGATGCATTAACGCGTGGACGTATCTTCCCATAGCCGGGGGCTCACCTTTATCTCATTAGTATTTTTGTTCTATGATCTGTATCTGTATAATGCCTCTAAGGAAACTGAACCGAATGCCTCAGGAGAAGTGAATAACTTGTTTTATAATATTAAAAAGTTTAGAAATTTATTCAAAAATGTCACTTTTAACGAATAAATTTGCACTTCAGCGAAATAAATATTTAATAATAATTTATCTAATTTCAATAGTTATTAGTTTTCATGAGTTTGGAAATAATGATAATAATCAGTATATGTTAATTACTGTTATTATTTGCTAATAATAATAATAATTAAAAGGCGTTTGAATATTAACAAGTATTAAAATATCATATAATTATTGATCCACTCTCCCCTCTTTTAGTTATTCAATTACCAAGTTCATCGAATATCTAATCGATAAACTGACACATTAGCAAAATTTCAATCAATAATATTACTTATATAGGGCCTATATTATTTAAATATTGGCTATATAAATTCTGTTATTACAGCTGAACAAATCACATAATATTGCAAATAGTGATAATATTATATTTACACTTCAGTTAGTTTTTTTATGCACCCAATTTATTCATCCTTGTCTCTGTTTACTATACTATTGTTCGATATTTCAAAAATATTTTCTCAAATGAATCAAGGATTTCCTGAATTTTTACGTGAAACTACTAAACAAAGAGGGGGATATTTTAGTTTAGTTTTAAAGTTAACAACGACTCGAATGAATATAAAAACACCTCGCCCCTTATTTCGTATGATGAATTCCGATTCATTAATATTAGACGTGGGCATGTAAATATGTTGTTTGAATCCTGAAAAGTAAGAGATTTCCCACACGCTGTTTTAGTTATCAACCTCCACCGATGATGAAACACAAATCCTACAATATTAATTCCATAAATAGATTATATAAATAGAGACGAATCTGAAGAGAGATATTTTCCCATTATTCTAATTTTAGTGTTTCTAAGTTTTTCGTTATTTTTAACGTAAACTATATTTTCATCGCGTTTTTTTTTTTTTTTAAAGATTTTATTTATAGTCGACCCCCTATAACACTGTTGATTATTTCGTTTTATATGAATTCCATATTGTACGAGTCACTTAGATTTTACAAATACGTGAGCCGTTCACTGCCCGGCACACGTATTTGTAAAATCTAAGTGACTCGTACAACATGGAATTCATATAAAACGAAATAATCAACAGTGTTATAGGGGGGTCGACTTGTAATTAATTATACGTTTATTTCATTGTTTTTTATTTATTCGTAAGTCGGATTAATCATATATTTATTGACATTGTTCGCAAGTGTTACTTTGATGACGAATGATTTCTCTTGAAACATTACCCACTAATGTGACATTTTTCTCCTTACCGTTCTATCTGAGAAAAATACGGCATTGTCGATAGAAAGGCGCGTCAAATCTCTCTCTTACAAAGAAAATAAATCATGTGAAAAGATGAAAGAACTCAAAGAGATTTCCGAATGTTAGCTTGTAAGATACAAGAAATTCCTATGTTTAAAAAGGTTAATAAACTAGAAATCACTTTCTACGTTTGAAAAAGCTCGTTTACCAGTTAAAAGTAGGCTAGGCCCCTGTTAAGAGAGTAGAAATAAATAAAATCTACCTTTGAATTTTTAATGCCAATAATTTTCATACAATTCTGGTATTTCTGATTCTTAAATTTTACACGAATTGGCAGAATTAGTAAGTAATTCTTAAAGGGAAAAATGATGAGAAATTCGTGTTAATAAAACCGAAAAAATCATGTTCGAATACTTAGAAATATTAGTGTATTCAGCAAAAAAAAAAAGAAAATATATTCAGCTTACAACTAAATGTTGCTACCTCTTACGGGTAATGTACGGTATTGTACTTGTAATATTGATTCTTCGACCCAGTTCGTTGCCTCAGTCAGGAGTCATAACTTGCGTACAATAAGTGCAATACCAATCAATAAAAAAGTAACCCGTTAAGTATGTCTATGAATATATTATTAATTAGATAATGATAATGATTAATATTAATTATATTTACATAATAACATTATCTTTATTGAAAATAAACCTGCAGTTTTATTTTATTTATTTATTTATTTTTTTAATGGGTTTGAATTACATCGTGCCTTAAAATTTATTAGTAAACAAATGTTACAGATCACAGACTTCAGTTAAGTAGAATAAAATTATTTAACAAGTTATCTAAAAATGGGTGAGTTCCCGCATAAACAGAGATTCTAATCCAACCGGTTAGTGAGAAAAGTAGTAAAGGTAATCCCGGAAATCAGCACTCATTTTCCCTATTACATTCTACTTTGAAATGACTATATTTGCATTATATTGCTTAAAAAACTGTCACGAAATTATTAAAAAATTCAAACATGTTTACAAACAGATATATTTCTTACACAGGAGAAAGAATTTTCGTACTATAAATAGTCTTATTATATAAAAACATATATAAAATATGCCATAAATTCTCTCAATATGAGAAATTTTCTTTAAATATATATTAAGTATTCGATACAGTGTGAGAAAAAGAACAAGAAGAAACTTTTATTGTATAGTCTAAGGGTCTCAGGGGTCCTCAAACTAATCATTTATAAGAAAATATTTCCCCCAAAAAATTCTCTCAAAGAAAAAAAAAACCCTAATTCGAATTTGCCTGATCCTCACGAAACTATAACGTGCCACTGTATAGTCTTTCATTTTTTGTGGATATATTTAAGTATTTTTAAATAAAATATATTATAAATTTTAGTTAAGTTTTTTAATATTATAAAATAGTAGCATTTTTTTTCCTTGATTTTTTATAAGTCTATATTGTAAACAATAGGATAAGATCGAGTACAATATTAGAATAGACAATTTCT